AGGGAAACGAGCTCTCACCTCTTCAAACACACAGTAGTCCTGAATTGAGACACAGCTGTACTTTTTTTTTTTTTTTTTGCAAGTTAGATCTGAAGAGATGGTACATGTAGGTAATATACTTGCATCCAAAGTCAATCCTGTATGAGTGATCCATAAAGTTCTCAGACAACTTGGATCAGTAATACTCAAACTGTGCACGCAGAGTCCTAACGTTTCCCACATAGGCATGCAATCTACTTTTATCTTGCAGAAGATATAAAACACCAGAAAAGGCTATATGCCTCCATGGAGGCAGATTATAAGACAAAGACAAGACACTGTTCTAAACCGGTGCAAATCATCTGATTTACAGTAACTATGCATGCTCTTTACCCACAGCAAATGTAAAACAATTTGAATTAGGAACACGACAGTCATTGGGAAAGCAAATTCCCCAAGATTTGTTATATACTCCAAACTTGATAAGACCCATTGCTTTTTAATAAAATGTTACTCCACAAGGCCCAATCAGTCTCCAACAAAGACGGAACATCTCCGCTAGGACTGAAGCCTGCAGAAGAGATAGTACAGATGGTTCAGACACAAGGCTCATGCTCATTGCCAAACTGGTCATAGCTGGGCAGCCAATAAAATTTGAATGATTATTACTTAAAGAACTTGGAAGAGAGCACCTGGTTTGTAAAATCCCACGAGCGGCTACTGCTATTAACCAATGACGCAGCTTTGCAGCCAGATCACACCAACCAGCACTAGGCTCTAGCACACTCGATGTTAATTAGCTATGTAGTGGCACAAGGAACTACAGGGACATGCCACTATCTGCCAAGGACGCATTCCAGAAATGCACAAAAGTTAGCAATTTGCCAGAGCAAAGTTATTTTTCCCAGAAGAACTGACGCAACAGATGAGGAACGTATAAAAAGACTTCAGAAATATACTTTAAATACATAGGGATAGTATGTATGGTGTGGAGGATGTAGAGGCAGGAGCAAGGTCAAGGTCACAAAGGTTATCACATAGAGAAGATCAGGGTCTAGGTCATTAAGGAGAGGAGAGGCTGGCTTTTTAGAACAGATCATATTACAGAAGATCTGATCAGATTTCATCGCCATCATCTTCCTCTGATGATTCAGGGGTGAGGGACAGAAAAGCAGGGTGATAATAGGTAACAGTGCACTGTATCAAATGATCAGTAACAGAACTCAAACAATGAGTGGAGAAGCAACATAAATATATATTTACACACACACACTCTGTATGTGTGTATATACATACAAAGACACTATAGCCATGCAATAGCAAATACTTGAGAACACACAGTATCTACTTGACTCAAAGTAGTTCAGTGTTCAGACATGCTGTACCACAGATCAGCAGTGACAAACCTCTTGTAAAGGCAAAGGTGCTCCATACATTTAACACATACTTCCTCCCATCCAGAGATCATTGCCCTTCACTGTTGGATAGCGATAACTCAGCTGCACACACATAACCTTCTTTGTAAAGTGTTAAAGAACACGAGGTTGAGCAGTGCACCAAATGCTAATTACTACTGTTCCCCCCCGTCCCCCCTCCTCCTTTTTTTTTTTTTTTTTTTTAAAGGAACGAAAGAGGATGTGAACAAGATCAAAGACAGGGGAGACTGGGCTAAGGGATGAGGAGGGGGAAGAAAGTGAAAAAAAGCAAATTGGACAGATGGATCACGAAGTTAAGTGATAAAATATCATTAGGGAATAAATAAGCTTCTTATGGTAGGAAAGTATGGAAAGCTAACCTTGTCATATCACAAAGTAGCTTATGGGAAAGGAATTGTAGGTTTAAATACTTTTTCTTGTTCACTTGGATGTGTACACAAGATGTGAAATCTATGTTTTATATAATTAGAGCCTATTAAAATATTCTTAACGGGGTTGCCTTTTGAAAACCAGAATTAGCCAAGAGTTTAGGCAACTATGATATTCTCAAGTATGCAGCGCCCTCAGGTGTCCATAGGAGAACTACTTAACAATTCCTTTAAACAAAGTTTGGAGGAAGTATTTGCTCTCAACTTTTCATAACATTTAATTCTGCAGGTATGACACACCTCTTCATTTACTGCTACAGTCTTGGCCTCCACTGACCATCCATTGCTTTGCACATCGTTTGCATCTTCCTCCATTTCAAGAAAGAGCACAGCACAACAATGCCATTAACAATAATGTATCATCATTATAAATAAAAAAGCCTTTTGACATCTAATGCCACTTACAGTATAACAGCTGCAATTTTTACTCATCTAACCTGTTGACTTCTTTTAATATCAAAAGTCAACTTTGACAGCAGATAAAACAAGTGGATTCAGGTTAAATACAAATACTTCTAACAGTTACCTTTTGGGATTTCCTAGCTAATGCTGCACCCCCACCCCTTAAGAAAAAAAAACACACCTTTCACCTCTCAAATACCGGCAGGCTGCCAGACAGCACCAAAAAGCAGTTTGCTATACTATAGCTCTTATTCCCCTTGCGTACACTTATTCAAGAGTTACGTACACAATGAACTTGTTAAATTGTCCCTTTTTTTGTAGAAGGCCATGCTGCAATGTTAGTAAATAACATGACAATCCCTGAAAGGTAACCTTTTTGTTACTGCAATATTTATATAGCTTCTAATTCTAATGACTGCTTCTAATTCCCCTCCTTTCAGGAGGGGAGTAAATATACAGTACAAGCTAGAAACTGAAGTCCCTATGATGCAATCCGGTGAAAAAGTGGATTGTGCTAAAAACAACAGAGACTCTGGAGAGCTTTCCATCCCTTATGTGCTCATTACCACCAAGGCAAGCCAATATAGTCTCCAGTTCATAGATCCCAGGAAACAAGAGCGTTGCACTTAAGACAACATGATTTGTTTATTTATTTCAAAGCATTTGATTTAACTAGAAAAACGCTATCAAGAGAAACTAGAATGTAGTAAAAGGCAACAAGGAGTTCGAGCTTAATGGCATTTCCTATTAAAAGGACTTCAGACATCTATTTCTATCACGGGCTGTTTGTAATCACTCCTGCAACTACACAATCTTCATAATAATTCCAGTTGGTCTGTGTTGGTAGACAGCAGCTTCTAAGTAAGATTCCCACTACTCAGTGCCACTAATACACAGAGCCAGTTGTAATTTTAGCATAATCCTGAAGGCTATCAGCAACAGTTTTTTTACCTCTTCCTCCCAAGAAGAAACTAATTTGAGTTGTGCTCTCAATATCCCTTCTGTTTTGCTACTCTTGAAAACATCGCAAATCAAAAAAGTAGGGACTGAGCTCAGATTTTAAAAGAGCTCACAGTATCTATAGCTTAACCAGATAGTCTCAGCTGTCAACATTCTTTTTCTTAACACTAACAAAGTAGGCATATCTGAAAACTGTATTTCTCACAGACCTCCCAACCATTCACACAAGCAGAATATTAACACTGACATTTTCCATCATCCTTCAACCCAGCAGCATTACAGGCAGAAGCAAACATTTTGATTTAAAAAAACAACAAACAAAAAACAAACACAAAACTTGGGTTTGCCAAAATTTTAGGTCACGTTACCAAAAAAAAACAAAAAAACAAAAAAACACACACCCTTTTGATTAAGAAATTCAAAGCCAAAAATCTAAGCTGCTTCTTGGTAAACTGATGAGAAGATGATCTCCTGCATTTTACATTTCCGGATTTGATTTTGAGGCTCATGTAATCACCAGCTCAGCCCAGTGACCAGAATGCTTACCTCAACAATGCATTGCCGTTACATGCTGATTTCGCATGACTATTATTTTCAAAGAAAGGAATCAAAATTCTATCCTGTGTGTACATATACAGTAAATCCTGACTCTTCCACATGTATTTCTGCTTTTCACTTACCTCTATACACTGTATTTGCCAACAAAGAATCAGAGTATATGGAATGGCAGAGCAGGGAACTAGAACTTCATGAGAAAACTCTAACAGAATGCTGAACAAGAAGGGAAGGAGCAGCAAATACATAAAACACTATTTGGTTCATATTCCCTTTAAGAATGGCTGTTAGTATAAAAGCTATACCAAGAATAGATTCTTCTCTTAAAGAAAAAATATGAGCCACATTTATGTTCCCCAGTGACACAACATGGCATTTTACTAGCAAGTTGCTAGTAAGAATCTCAGTGCTCCGGCTTGTTTAAGACGTCCAAAGAGATTATGAGTAATTGTGTTTTAAAAGTCACTGAATTGGAGACAAAGCTCAAAACATACCACACTGCAACGTGGTACTTCTATTTAGAAGAAAGCAACGCCTACTTTGTTGCATATATATATATATATATATATATGCGCAATGTCTGCAACATTTGCACAGTGGGCAAAAATTTGTTCCCTGTATAAATCCAGAGTACATCACTGCAAATAAGGTTTTTAATTAAAATTGGCATTGCTGAGCCTCCTGCTGACTGATAGCCTCTCACTACCTCCTCCTCAGATGGCTAAACCAGCTTCCAAGAGATATGGCAGAAAGAAACAAAAATCACTAGCATGCCTGGATTTGACAAGTCTCTGCCGGGGATGATTTCAACAGCAGGGTACTGCAGAGAGAGGTAAGGAGAGAGAGTGGATAACTATTTAGGAAATCTTCCCTAATGATTGCTCAGAACATCACAAACAAGACAGTACAGGTGGCGTTTTATTCCCAGGCCTGCAGACAGGATGATCAGGCAGGACAATTTTAATTAGAAGCCATATTGTTAAGCAGAACGCAGAACAATGTTTGCACCTCAGCGGGTGAAGCTTTCTTAAAATACAAAGTAGGCTTGGGAGTTGACCAAGCCTCTTTCTGGGAGGTTGGCTCACTTGTCAACCCTGATCTATATCCCCCAGAAGAAAAGGTCGAGGTAGGCTCCCAAGTCCAAAAAACAAACAAAAATTTCTTACTTCCATGGCCAGAACACTTCTCCCCATTTTACCAATTTACACAGAGGAGCTTATACTGACTGCTAGTATTGTACCTTCAGGAGGCTCTTCCTGCAGATGAGGGGGCAGTTCTTCACTGGTTGTCTCAGTTTCATCTTCCACCATCTGTGTTTCTAAGCTAGGTCCCTGTAGAACAGAACAGCAAAGAGGAGGTAAATTGGAGAAAGTTCAGAAAGGAACCACAAAAAATAATTAAAAGATTAGACAATATACCAGACAGTAAGGACACAAGGAGCTCACTTTAGTTGATGAAAAAGAAAGCTGCTGGGAGATTTATTTGCAGTCTAATTATGTACAGGAAGAAGGAAAAAGAGATTGATAAGAGGATTGTTCCAGCTAACAAGCAAAGGTATGAGCGCCCAAGTGGACTCAAAACAGGAACACTTCTAAAAAAAACAGGAACATTTCTAAAACACATAATGCAATAATCATTTCAAATCCCATTTGCTAAGGGTTGTGGCAGATTCTCCACCACTTGGAATTTTCAGGAAAAAAAATTCAATCTTTGATTTAGAAGGATTTATCCATGTCTTACCAAGACTGGATTCCAAAATGTTTGTAGCCTGTCTGATACAGAAGGAGATCAATATGGGTTACACAAATGGTCCCACACCTCACTTTACATATGTGCAAGCAAGACTTAAAATAGGAAATTATTTTCAGAGGAAGACAAAGCAACCTTATTTACAGTCTCCTAAGCCATTCAAGTCTGTTGACCACAGTTTTCCCCTATCAGTCACATTTGTACCTGCTTATATATAAAAGGTGCTAAATTAACTTCCACTTAAGAGCTACTAGATTTCCCTCCAAAGTTTTACAATTCCACTTTCCAGCCTTCAGGACCTTGGCAACAGCCTGCAACATTGCTGATATGTAAGGATGTGAGCAGAGTTAACCTTGTAAACTTAGAGAGCACTAACTTTTACTTAAGGCTGAGAACTCACTTTACATACACAACCTTTTCATGACTTGAGGAGCCATAAAAGTATAGTTGCTTTTTCAACAAACAAATAATGCCCTTAATCTTTTTTTAAAGTAATGGTAGAGTGAACATTGGGTGTAGTTTAAAAATAAAATTTAATCACAATTTTCTTCATTGGAAGCACTAATGCAGTCAAAAGTGAAATCAGAATTTTAGCCCTCATTAGGAACAAGGCTCTTGTGCACTTTTAAAAACAGCAATGAGCTTGTAGTCTGGACTATCAGAAAACGCACATCAGCATACGCAGCTGGAAGGTTACGGAAGCCGGTATAAACACCAGTACATCAAAAGCTTGCAAGATTTTACTATTCAAACTCAAGAGGAAAAAGGGATAACATTAAAGCTGCAGTATTTGTTTTCCAATCCTGCAGCTGCAAAGGTCCCCCCCGCAACACTGCATACTTTGCAAATTATAAACAGTAACACACTTTTTATTCCTCCCTTCACAGAAATAGCTTATATTTCCATTCATTTCCCATTATTTCAACAGAACAGACATGAAAACTGGAAGTACTACCACATTATTTTCAAGAGTCTGATAGCTAAGAAAAACAACAGACAGGCGAAATGTAAGAGTCTACTACATTAGCACCACTGTTGTAACCTTGACGGCTGCCATCCTTGACTGTGCAAGCTTTATCTATGGAATCAACACTGAATGAATATTTCTCCACATTTAAAAACACCTAGTATCCACATCTTCCAGCTTTGCTCAACAAATTATTCAAACATTAAGTCATCCCTAGTAGTAGCTATCATGGAAAATTATATATATATATACACACACACACACACAGTCACCACAGACTACAGATAAGTTAAGTATTTTTTCCTGACAGTCCCATCAAAAATTTAACCCAGGAGTCAGCTATCAGCACTGAGGTCTAATCATCTCCTCACTTCACTGAAATAACACAATCTAGATTTTAAGAACGCGTCAACATGTCTAGATAGGAGCAATAAGTTGAATATAGAGTATGTTTCTCTATATAAGTATAAACATGTAGGTAGTTTCTGCATCAGTCACATATAGCGTATTTCTATACTTTTTTCTTATCTACTAACATTGCAGAGAGAAAGGAGATGAGGCTACAGCAGTTTACCAAAACAAAGTACATTTTCACATAAATGATCTAGACATGCAAGACATAAGGTACCAATATTTGTATTACAAACATTCTAAACCACAATCTAAACTATAAGCGATCTCCTAACTCTTTGTCTCTACTTTCCTTTATCGCAGGAAAGCCTAGATAGATATTTAGAATGCACGTGACGTTTGGATAGTCAGGGACTAATACAGTTACTCTTTGTCTCCATGTGATCTTCAACACTCATTTTGATTTCCCTCAGTTTTTATTGCCTCCAATAAATATAACTTGATTTAGCCTAACAAATAGTATATAAAATCTGTTTACCAAGCTGTCTTCCTTGTATAATTAGTATCCTCCTCTTGCCCCAACCCCTACTTAACAGCAGCACCTGAGAAAGAGTAGAATCACTGCTGTTATCTACCTCCATGTTACACATCTTGAAAGAAAAACAGCTTCTAAGACAGGCAGATCTTAGCTTTGTACACCCGTACCGGTTAGGACGACATAGATTGTGTCAAGTCACAAATTAAGCTTAGAGTACTTCCAGCGTCGGTGTAACTTAACCAGCTAGATGTTTTGCTGGTGTTCAGGTGTATAACTGTACTAAATAGCAGTCTATTTAAGCTATGGCTATCCCTTCTTAATACCCCGAACTCAACAGCCTTTAACTAAAAAATGAAGAGATAAAGATATGTAGATGATATAGTGTCAGCTTAGGCAGTACCAGTTTGTGTATCCAAGAGAAACTTACCCAAAGTACTGTGAGATTTGGCAGATTAGCTAGCGGTTTGCAAGACCTAGCCTAAAAAAAGACAGTATTAATGGTTTAAAAAAAAAAAAAAAGACACACACACACACAGCAAGAGGACCCATCCCACACAATGCAAAGCTTAAGTCCATATCAATTACTTGCTGCCTGATGAGATGTTCCGACTTCTAGGACTAAGGAAAAAGCAGACATGCTCATTTTTTGAAGAACCCTTCCCCATACAAATTTAATGCCCTAAAGATCATTAGTATAGCAATAAAATTAACTAGCTAAGAACAAGGCTCTTTAACATGATCATTTAAAGCTATTAGCCACAGGCTACCATGAAAAACACCACTTTTTCCTTCTTCAAAGAAAAAAGCTAGTAGTCTCACTTTGATTCTATAAGACAAACCTGCTTAGCGTTTTATCCTGATAACAATCTAAGATAGTGATGTTCCTTTGATGTATAGCTGCTGTCATTTACGCAAACACAAAGAAGATAAAAAGTCACTCCCTTTTAGTAGCATTTTCCACCTTTTTCCTTATGCATGAACCACCCAGTGTTGAGAAAACAACAATATGGCTCTCCAGCCAAGTGGATATCATTCACAATATTTATCCTGAAATAAAGATTTGTCCTAGCTGATACTCAATTTTAGGCCTAAACTAGTATTAACAAATCCAGTTTGGAGCAAGACAGAGCCCCCTACAGAAGGCGATGGCCGAGCGCATCTTTGCTATCACTTGTTTTTCTTCAGATAAGAACTTTAACATTTGCTGGCGGATTTCCACAGAAGAAAAATACGCAATTCCAGAGAATTACAGTTAGAGAACATTCTTAATATCTAACAGAGATGACCAGAATTTTTGAAGGGAGTTTTTACACTACTGAGGAAAACAAACAAGAAACCAAAACCAAAGGAAAATCACACACAATTTCATCACAACACAGCATATTTTGAACTATATTTGGTATGTATTTTGTACCTTATATAAAATTTATTCCCAAGAACAATGAAAAAACTGATTACCAAATTTTGTCATTTCAAGTTTTTATATTAAAAATTGAAAACACAGTCTAGATTGAAGTGGCATTTCAAGTAACAACAAACTTAACTTTTCTAGGAATTCTCTTTTGCAATCTTGAAATCCTGAGATCTCTTACTTCCTAAAATGAAGTTGGAAACATTTTCTATAGCACAAACTCAAGTTCTTATCTCATTACTAGCTTATCACCCTACATAGGAAGCTGCTAGGAAAAGTAATTCATCAGACTTGAGCATATCAGTTTCATCATTGTTACCAGCAAATAAGCATGCATTGCATTACTACTGCATTTCACTAAGTAATTAAAATGTCAAACTGTTAACAGTAGATGAGATACTAGTTGTAGCATCTAGCATCCCTATCTAGAAGGAATAGTTATGGTTCTCAAACCTTGACAGACTTTATTAACAAAATCATAGCGCCTCTTTACAATGGCTTTGTATCTTAGATTAGCAGGCCGATGGCTTTTGCATCTGCTAAGTTCAGTTCCCCACGTCTGCTGGGAGCTTGGTAACATAACCATCAATATCTAGTAAAGATACCCACAGTTCTGGCAGCAGGGTAATCTAGAGCAATCAAAACAAATCCTCAAGATTGTCTTCCAGGAAGATTTATAATCAAGTTAAAGTGGTTAGTCTCAACTTGTCTTGGTTAGTATTTCAAGAATGAGGCACCAGTGAAGTCTGATTTTTCATTCTTAAGACGACAGACAAATAGGGGAATCTGATCAGATATACACAACTGACTATATTAACAAGTTGCACATAAACCATCACGCAGTGTCCAGCAATTCCGTAATCAAGTCCTCTTGATCTCCAACTACGGCAGAAGCAATACGCTCAGATGTTGCCTTTGCTTTGATGTCCCCTCTAAAAGCATCCAGGAAGCAGGAAAAACGTATAGACAGTTTTAGAAACATTGCCAAGTTATTAAATGCATGATAGTCCTTCAATTATTTAGGGTTCGTACAATCTTTTTAATTGAATATGTGGTCCTATTCCTCACCACAGCAACTGAAGCATAAAGTTATACACGTACTATTAAAGGAATACTCAGGTTATGGCATATAACAGAAGAACATCTGACTGAAAAGCAGCTCTGGCGTCTCCAGAGACGGACCCTGCTCTCATAAGCAAGCACATCAGTTCTTTTGAGAAACTAGTGAGTTTCTGGATACAAGCACTATTAACGATTCAGTGGC